TATATATATATATATATATATATATATATATATATACATATATCGAAACTCTCAATTTATTTATTGTTTTGAGTTATACAGTTATATTCACTTATAGCTGAGTCAATCAATCTACATATCTATAATATTTATCCACATAGCTTTTAATTCGTCTACCTCTCTTGTAGTTCTCTCTCTATGGTTAGGGTATTCCAATCTCGACATCTCGTTCAAGTTTAATTTATTCTGGTTGTTTTACAACCCTCGAACTAAATTGGAATCAGTGCACAGCTATTACGAGCCCCAGATACGTATTTTATATGCACATTTAATCATTGCACTCGCATTTTAAGTGGCCCTGGTACTCCAGTTAAAAGCGAGCTGACTCCACAGAGGGTTAAGTCGCTTTAACGTCATTTTATGACAGATTTTTAGTGGCAATTGCCTCGTAATGCCCCAACTCCCCAAACTATTTTAATTTGAAGTCGTTTTCGGGGCTCAACGATGTTTATCGTAAAGTAGCCGGGCTTCAACTTAACAAGTTCTATAAATGGATTAACAACATAAAAAGCACATAATCAGTTATTAAGCTATAAGTCGTGAGTGCTTCTGACTATCAGATTCATTGTGAAACGAACTCATCGGGTATTAATATTTTTCTATACACTCAATTTGAAGTCTGAGCTAGTTATCAAAGGTATTGAGGGTTATGCAAGTATGTTATGCAAAGCTTTGCCCAACTAGAGCACAGCCAGATTATAATAAATACATACATACACACACACATATTTGCTAATACATATCAATAAAATATATAATACATATCAATAAAATATATAGAATTAATTTATTCAAAATATCAATTTACAACCAAAGGAATATTTATAAAAATTATTCATATGCATAAGATTTAAATTTTTTTCAGTGCACTCAAAGTCGTTTAGCTTCTTATGCATATAGCTTAAAAGCTCCATTAGAATTGTCATTTAAGCAGCTAAGAAGCTTTCAAATGCGTAAGTGTAAGATAAGCGAAGCTTTCGAAAGCTATTTTTAGACACAGCAGAGAGCACGAAGCATGGATCGAGCGTGGCGTTGGTGCGCTCTGCGCTCTGCGCTTTGTTTTCGGTTAACGGCTTCGATGCTGCGCTGTTTATATTCAAGGCTTCAACGTCGGTATCGGCGGCGTCGCTGCTGTCGGCGTTGCTGCCGCTGCCGCTGCCGCTGGAGACGAAAAGTCAACTAGCTTTTGCAGCTGATCCATGCGACAGCAATTGACGACGCCGTACTGAGGCACCAAATGCAGCTGCCCAAAGAGGCTCTCCCGCAGCCAGGGTATCTCAGCACAAATGTCCGCACAGAACGAGCCGAGCTCCGCTACAGAGTACTGCAAGCAAGAGAGAACAGTTAGGGAGAGAGAGAGAGAGTGTGTGTATGAGTGTGTTAAGAGCGTGAGAGCGGGTGCAAGAGCTTGCTTACGTATGGTGAATTGTGTGCGACAACAACAAACTCATCGGCAGTAGTTCCCGTTGGGTGCAGCGCTCGAACATGGGCCCAGATGTGCGCCGGCACAGGCATGCCATTGCCAGCGCTGTCCAGCAGCAGCAGCGAGCGACTGGCATTGCAGCTTTCGGCAATGGGCAGCGTTGCCACGCCCGAAACGCCCAGGCGCACATCAAACTGTCTGCTGCAGGAGGTCCCCGCACCAGGAGCAGGAGCAGCAGCAGCAGCGGCGTCAGTGTAGCCATTGGCGCTGCGCAAAGCGTCCAGCCAGTGCTGCCAATTGCCCGTGCGCAGCGCACGCAGCCAGACAATGCTCAGCATATCGGCGTAGCTGCTCAGCTCTTTGCTCAGCTGCGGCTCCTGCAGCAGGCTGCCGTACTCGAACAGTTTGCCATCGTAGAGTTGGCCCAGCTGCTTCTGATTGCCGACCATCTGCTGGAAATCCGAGTTGGTGGGAAACCGAAAGTATTTGCTCAAGCTGCCCAGATAGGTGTCCAGCTTGAGACGGTCCAGCTCCTGGCCCGTCTGCCGCTCGAGCAGCGCGTTGCGCGGCGCGTACGCCAGGTAGCTGACGAAGCGCGGCCGTGAGGTGCCCAGATCATAGCAGATGCCCAGCTGCTTCACGTCCGGCAGTCCGTTCAGCTTGTAGCCGATGATCAGCGTCATTGCGTCGGCGGCCGGGCAGCCGCGCAGCTGGCGATTGCTTTCGTACAGGGTCTGGGTGAAGCCGCCGCTGCAGTAGACTGTGGCGCTGCTGCGATGCTGTATGATCTGACGTTCGTCCAAATAGATGCCATCATTCGTGCACAGCAGCTCCGCCGTATCCGCATTGATCTTGACCGGCTGGCCGCTGCTCTGCGACACGCTGATACCAGTGGGGCAGTGGAAGGTGATTGACTCGTTCGGCGACAGCTGGATGTCTGTCAATGAGCGCTTCACCACGGCCGTCTTGCTGCCGAACTTCTTCACCACGATCGGCTTCGGCTCCCCGATGCGCAAATCGCAGACAGCCGCAGCGCCCGTCGCGCACAACAGCAACAGCCAAACCGAACGCGTCCGCCACATCTCAGCTCACAATTGGCACTGATCTCTCTACACGAGCCGCGAGCTGGCGTTAGCTTCCCAGCCGACGCTGAGAAACTTGACTCGTGATACGTGATTCACACTCTTTTGGTTTTTTTTGTTTGTTTTGAAGATGCAGAATAAAAAAATGAAATTTGATATGCTATCGACTGCATAATGCTCGTTGAGTATTTGCACAAGTCTCAAGTGATTGAGTCAGCAGGTTTACACCACTAGCCACGCCCCCAAGGGGATGCAGACATATGCTTACCAAATATGTTGTGCTTTTAATTTACAATGTAGAATGATATAGGCAGCTCGTATATCATATAGACAGTTCTTTATATAAAATTTCACGTCTCTAGCACATTGTAGAGTAATATTGCTGTGATAACAGTTATAGTAAGTACTCAGTTGCCACGTTCTTAATGGGTGTATCCGAAGGACTGCGGACAGACGTCTTACGTTCGATTCGATAAACCAACAGAGCGACGGATAGACGGACGGAATGGCTATAGATGGGCGACGAATGGATGATCAGATTCGTGGACAAGGCAGACGGACAGCCGTAAGCATAGGCGGAGAGACAGATCGGTGAACAGACGAACGGATAAATGGATGAACAGGCCAACTTGCAGGCTGGGGCAGAGACGAATGGATAGGCGAATAGATATACCAATGTTTAGACGAACGGATAGACGAACGGATAGAAGATAGAAGACTGGATAGAAGAATGGATAGAAGAATGGATAAACGAATTAATAGACGAATGGTTACACGAACGGATAGACGAACGGATAAACGAATGGATAGACGAACGGATAGACGTACGAACAGATGAACTAGCCACACGGATTAACAGACATTACACAGAACCAATATACTCTTCTCACAGCGCTGAACGAGTATATAAAACAGATGCTAAATTGCCGCAAACAAAAAGTGGAATAAAGAAATGAATAAATACACGAATCAATTGCTGTCATAATAATAGGGGGAATCCCAGCTTGATTGATTGGCTGCTGAACGCGTTTTGCTGGAAAAGCTTTTAATAATTTACTATAAATACTATCGATGATGAGTTCTTAAATGTATGTATGTATTTATTTAACTTAACTGAAAGTTAACATCTTAGATTCCATAGAGAATGTTTGCTCTAATAATACATACATACATATATGTATATACATATAAATACATGACTGCCTCAGCGCCATATAAAGCATAATTTTACTCATATATAAATAATAACTTTCTTAATTGAGAGGATGTCCGAAATGAAGTCCCAAAGGACACACTCCGAGAGAGAGAGAGAGAGGGGGGGAGAGAGAGAGAGACATGACGGCTACGTTCTCTTCGCGCTCGAGAACTTTTCCGGCCTGTTGCTGACATTCAATAGAATTTCCGTCTTTCTTTGCTTTCATTTATTTATTTATATTTTTATTTTGACAATGATCAAACTTTTGGCATATAGTCGGCTTATAGTAAGGCGATTTTCCATTCGATTGGCTGATGGACCGCTGAATATTTGAGTCAGTGCGCAATGCGAGAGATTCCATTAGCGTTATTTGATTAACCACATGAAGGAAGGAAGGAAGCTTCGAGCGCGCTGGATGCCAGGGCAGACAGCAGTCAAGCAGAGCGTGACCAGGACAAAGATTGCGATGCGTGTGTGAGGGAGTGAGTGTGTGAGTGTGTGCGAGTGTGTGTGTGTGTGAGTGAATCAAAATTTGTGGTGCGGCAAAAAGTCAAGTGGCAACACGCGTAACGCAGCGAAACGTTCAAATGAATACGTGAGAAGGCGTTGCAAGGCAGTCAGTCACATACATACATATACTATATACATGTGTGTATGTGTGTGTGTGTGTATGTGTGTGTGTGCATGTAATCGCCTTTTTGGCTGCCTGCCATTGCATTTGCGCACACGCATGCAAAGCACATTTAATCAAGCGACTCGTGGCGCCCTCTACGCTGCCCTTGCCCCTTCTGCTAGAGCCACGCCTCCGCCTCCGTCTCCACCTTCGCCTTTTTGGTTGCCGTATTCAGGATTTGAGTACGCGTGGAAGCGTGGAACGTGGAACTATGCGATGCGTGAGAAACGTGTTGGCACTGCGAGTGTGTGTGTGTGTGGATGTGTATGTGTGGGTGTTAGGAGTTTGGAGGTTCAAGTCTGAAGGTTGGGGGTGTCATCATTACAAGTCTGCCATCATTTTCATTTTCATCAGCATTTGGCTAAAACATTTATCTGCACACCAATCATACACACACACACCCGCACACACATACACATCCTGCTTAATAACAGCATTTAATGTCACAAACTTTTTGATGTGCTCTAATTTATATACAAAAACCAAACCAGACCAAACCAGACAGGCGGAGAACCAACGAGTTGAGACTTTGCGTCCGTGTGACAGTCTGGCAGCACGGCACGGCTGATGCTCTCGTCTGTCTGGCAACGCTGTCAGCTCGTTCATACATACATACATACATAGATGTACGTCTGTCTGTTGACGCGTTGTTGGCTCGTTAAAGAAAATTTGTTTTCACGCTTGATGGCAAATTGGGCGCGATCCACGCCCATATATTACCACATGCCCCTACACTCGGGCATCCCCCTGCGTAAACCTGCCCGCCTCCTGCGACATGCGCCCTGCACTTGACTTTGGTATGCTGTGCATTGGACCCGTTAATATTTCATATGTCAACGCAAGCAACAAACCCCCTCACTCCCTGTACCCCCCCCCCCCCCCCGCCCCCCCCCCCCCCCCCCCCCCCTGATCCATGCTCAGCCCCAACTTCAGGCCATTCCTCAACCCATCTCTGGCTCTTGACATCCCCTCGCTTGATTTTTAATGTGGGGCAGCCCACCATTTTATATACTCATATATATTCTCTTTCGTCTTTTTTTTTTTTTTTTTTTTTTTTTTTTTGTTCTTAAGCGTGGCCTTAAATCGCTCGCGTTTAAAAAATTTGATTATGTGAAATTCTCATGCGGGGAAATTAAATTTATACACAGATTCACAATTTTTGGTGCCTGATTGTTGTTGTCGCTGCTGCTGTTGCTGCTGCTGTTGCCACTGTTGCTCTTGTTGTTGCTGCGCTCTCGCATTTTCATTTTTTATGACGGCTTTTCCGCATTTTCAAGCATCAAGCAGAAAAGCGGCGGAAAAAACAACAAAAATAACAAAAACATTATAAAAATCAGCTGAAGTCTTAAATAGGCAGCGACTGCCAGATACCCCGTACTTTGGCTATGCCTAGATATATATTTTATAATTATTAAATTTTTGTGTTTCAATTATATGAGTAATACTAAAAAAAAAATTTTATTGTCGAATTTTTTTTTCAAATATTTTTTTTAAAGATTTAAAAAAAATATTTTTGAATATTATTTGTATTTTATAATTTTTTTAAGGTTGTAAATTTCGTTTTTTTTTTTAAATGTATATATAAAAATGTTATATGTAAATATTAAAAAAATATATATATTTTTATGTATATTTTTTTTTTAATTTTTAGATTTTTACTCCGCATAAATAAATATATTTTATAGTGTTTTTTGTAAATATTAAAAACAAAAATATATATTTTTATTATTTTGTATTTTTTATTATAATTTTTAGATTTTTTCTTCGCCTAAATATGTATATATATCCAGTTCTGGGCATACCTTTAAGCGTGCATATCAAGTTTACAGGGTATTTGATAAAGAAAACATGCAAGAAATCAAGAACATGCGACTGACACATTCAGTCAGGCAACAAAATTAAGCTACAGCAGCTTCAGTTTCAACACAATCGTTACGGCTCTTATATACCCAATAAGAATGTTAATAGAGCTATCAAAGTACTACGTGAAAATATAGAAGCTAAAGTTTAGTGCAGACGGTTGGATGAACGTTCCATGAAAGACAATAGAAAAGAACGAGAAATGAATACAATAATTATTCATATGTGTGTGAAGTACTTGAAGAAACCTACTGTTCCATATTTTTTATAATTTTTATTTAAACAGCTTTAAGACACGAGGCAAAAATGAGAATGGAAGTTTATTTAATCGGGGAACTTCTGACATACGTATGTTATGGCACATGTTTTATAATTTATTTATATATATTACTCATTTTTATTTATCAATAATTATTTATTTTATAAATCTATTTGTTAAGCAAATCAAAATCAACACAGAAAGTCTTAAGAAAACCTTAAAATTAGCAAAAGCAAATTTTTGTTGAATTATTTTGCAGCGCTTTACAGGGTATTTGTGAGCCGATGCGTGGCTCGCAATTGATTTCTTTATTTGCAGTGTGTGTTAAGCGACTTAAAACAGCTTAAATGCTGTTGCTGGTGCCGTCAACTGAGGTAGAGGCGGTGACTGTGAACCGGAACTGGGTCTGGGCTTGGGCCTGGGCGTGGGCGTGGGCGTGGGTTTGGGCAACCCGAAGATGAAGACGAAGGGGAAGGGGAAGTGGAAGTGGAAGACAGGCGGGGAGGGAATGCGGTACATATACGATGGTATATACACAAGGACATAACATCGTTGCCGTCATTGTCATTGCCATTGTCATTGTCATTGGCATTTGTGCTCTAAAGGACAACGGCTGGCAAATGTTTGCGATTTATGCATAATTTATGCAAAAAGAGGCACAACAACAATTTGACATTAATCAGTATGCTTTATTGACTTGACCCACGCCCACACACACACACACACACACACACACACACGCGCACACACGCACAATAAAGGCGCGAAAGAGAGATAGATCAATGTGAGTGAGAGGGAGAGTGAGTGAGGCTGTGGCTGAGGCAGCTGAAGCGAGGCGCGAGCGTCATTCATGACGTCTGTATAGCCGTCGTGCTTGACATTCCCCATAACTTAATCAAGAAATTCTTTATGCATCCAGCTCCCCATATACATTTTTTTTTGTCGCCATACCCTCGAAAAAAAAAAAAAAAACAACCTGCGTTAAGCTGTATTAGTTTTCCATATCGACTATCATCGACAACTGGGCTTGCTTAGCTCATA